ACCCAAAACGGGGGTATGTGCCCTGACCAGGAATCAAACCCTGACCTTCTGGTTCATAGGTTGATGCTCAACCTCTGAGCCACGCTGGCCCGGGCCGTTCCTGGTCTTTCTACACTCAGCTCAGAAAGTTGAAGAAATGTCTAGTCTTCAGTCACCAAAGGGAAGGCAGGAATTACCTTACAGGTCCTGCCATGTCTAGCCCCTATTACCTCCTGACCTCACACCGCCCTCGCTCATTCCTGCACTGACTGCTGTCCCTTCCCTCACACAGGCCAGGCACATTCCAGCCTGCAGTTCTTGTTGTCTCTGTCTAAACTGCAGGACTTCCCAGACGCACCTGACTTGTCCTCTCATTTGTTTCAGATGTCACTTCCATCAGACCCTCCCGCCTGCCACCTTCACATATATGACTCCATCTGACATGTCTTTCACTTGTCTCCCTTCCTAGCCCTCACTAAAATGGGGCAGAGTTTTGTTTCAGCAACTGCTGAATTCCCAAGTGCCCTTCCCTTATTGTTCACTGTTACAAGCCTGACCCGCAGAGCTCAAGTTCCCTGCCTTGGAAAGAATATTCAAATAGGTGACTTCTGTCATTCCACTCATGCGTTTAGACACACCTGACTTTAAGAATGCAAGTCCAGCAGCATTCTTACCGCCTGCACAAGCTTCAGATTTTGAGAATCAAGTGTACAAGAGCAGTTTACTATCACCCAGTTGAAAGTGTCCTAGAATACTGTGATCTCAACAGGCCATTAATGGGATTAATTTATAGAGGCAAATATGTATGTCTTAAGATTCATGATTAAAGATGCCAATATTTTTTGCCCTGGCTGGTATGCTCAGTGGTCGGAGCGTGGGCCCTAGCACCAAAGGGTCACGGGTTTGATTCCTAGTAAAGGGCAAGTGCCCAGGTTGCAGGTTCAATCCCTGGCCGAAGTTGGGGCACATGCAAGAGGCAAGCAATTGATGTTTCTCTCTCTCGCTCCCCTCCCTCCCTTCACTTCCTCTCTCTAAAAGTCAATGGGAAAAATATCCTTGGGTGAGGGTGAGTAATAAAAATAAAAATGTAAAGATGCCAATTTTGGACAGGGTAGTAAAGCAGTTTTCCCATAAGGAACTAAGACGAACATTTTCAGTCATTGAAAAGAAAAAAGATGTTTTAAGTAAAAACTATGATTTATAGAGAACAACCATTGATCTTTATTTGATTTGACAAAATAAGCATTATTAAAAGACAGGTAACAAAATCTGAGCTTATATTGAATCTGACAAATTAAGTTCTACAGTATCTAGAATATTACATAAGAAATACCAACTGAGGGGGAAACGGGACAGAAGCATCACATGCAGATGCTCCTGGCAAAGGGGGAATGATACTGCAAGTGAGGTCCATAGTGTGCAGTGCGTAAAACACCCTAGAGAAAATGCAATTGACTTACTGCGGTGAAGTGTTTTTTCCTTTTGGGGCGAGGAAGAGGTGGCCAAGAGGGGCAGGAATTCAAAGGCATATGCAGAATGGCGTCTCCATTTCAAAATGTTCATAACAATATTTAGATCATGGCACTAGGGCACCTTTGAGGAAAAGAACACCTTAACCAGAGTAGGCTCATTGCATAATTCTTTAGTGATATGCACAATTTTCAAGTAATGGGGTGGGCTTAAGGAATCACTGGATTTTGATCGTGGCTATCTGTTTTTCTTCTCACCCTCTAGGGCTTGCTCTGTCTCAGCATCACAGGGACACTTCTCCACGCAGTTTCTAGGGAACCACCCTCTGATTCTTGAAACACCTGAGAAAATTAAATTGACGTGAAATAGTCAGATAGACTGCAATGACTTTACCGAGACCCATAAGTCCTATACTTCAAATCAATAAGCTATTAGTCAGACTTTACATTTTTTCCCTCTTTATCATCTTTTATAAGCAGTTTGAGTGGGAAGAAATAAGGCTTTTAACTGCTTGCTCCTAACAAGCTAGAAACCAGGTATTTTCCCAATTCTGTTATTTGGGAAAGGAGCTAAGGTGGTTCAGAACAGCCCCCAAGTGGAGTTGAGGGGCACTTCTCAATATGGGCATCCAGTTACCCATGTGTGATCATAGGGTGTTTTTGGCAAATTGTCACACTCCATTTATTTCAGGGAACTATCTTCCTTAGCCTTGTGAATTTCCTTTTTAGACTTTTTCTAACATATAAATGTCTTTATCAAGGTTGCCTAAGCTGTCATTTGGGATTAATTTACGATTAACCCAGTGTTTTTAAAAGAACATCCTAGGTTAATCTTTACTCTAAAAGGGAACAATTTTAATGCGTGAATGTAGATTCATTAATGTTAATAAATGTTAACCACTCTGGTACATAATGTTTAGAGTGAGAGAGGCACTGTGTGTGGGGGTGGGGGAGAGATATGGGGATGTTCATTCAAAGTGGGAGTGCCCGGCCAGTGTGACTCAGTGGTTGAGAGTCAACCCATGAACCAAGAGGTCACTAGATCAATTCCCAGTCAGGACACAGGGGAGGGGGGGTGGGGAGGAGGGAACACATGGCCTACACGTTTGGCACACAGGCTCTGGAGCCAGACTGCTTGGAGTTGGAGCCTGGCTCTACCTGTTTCCAGTGTGGCCTTGGGCAAATGGCTTTGTCTCTGCTTCAGTTCCCTCATCAATAAAGTATAAGTGATCATGCTGACCGCAGAGGGCTGATGGGGACTTCAATACCACACGGGACGCAATTATACAAGTGCCTGTCCCACAGTTAGGCATGAGCTCCAATGTTAGCCATCACTAAAAAGACCCAATAAATCCCAGTGCTATGGAGAGCTAACATAATACAGGGAGCTTCCTTCTGCTGCTTAGTGATTGATGTGCTCTTCTCTTTAGTTCCCCTGATACATGTGATATGGGATTGTTTATTAAAGTTATTCTTGGGAAAGAACCTGTCACAGTAATCAGAAGAACAATTTAACCTTTACCCATCATCTGTGCTTTTTAAAGTTCGAATTTTAACTGTTAAAGGTAGACCCAGAATATCAGGTGACACGTCTTTCCCTCCCAGCTTGCTACCCACCCTGTCCCCCTAGAGGAGGCAGCAGCTGACGTTTCTAGTTCTCAAGGCTTTGCTTCCCTTCATTTCAAGCGCACAGCTGAGAATTAACTCTAGAGAGTGCCATCCCATCGGACTTTCTGCAGCAATGGCCATGTTCCCTGTCTGTGGTGTCCAATGTGGGAACCACCAGCCACATGCAGCCACTGAGCACTTCTAATGTGGCTGGTGCAACCAAGGGACTACATTTTTTTTATTTCATTTCATTTTAGTTAATTTAAACTTGGCTACCTGTGGCCAGTGGCCATCATATTATCCAGTATAACTGTAAATATGGGATTCATACCAATGAGCTATATTGAGGCAAATTATTTTCCTGTTGGCAATATAAATTGACTAAATTCCCTTCAAACCTCCAGTGCAAACTATTTAAATGAAAACAAAAGTGAGTTGCATTAAATTTCAACAAACATTTTAAGAAATATTATTTAATAAAAGCCAACAGTTGGCAGCTACTCAAAGGCAATTTTAAAAACTACAAAACTGTAGAGCCTAACCAAAAAAAAAAAAAAAAAAAGAAATTGGTATCATTGCAAAAGAATTACTTACACTTCTTACTCTTTTATCCGCTTTTTGTTTCAACTGTTCTATCTGGAAGATATAAAAATAAAAAGCCTCTTATCTCAATGTTGATATCAGAGGTTCATGACAAACTCCCAATTTCCCAGCATCTCTTAACTGCTGACAATTTAAAGGCCACCTGTGTTTTTCAGCATGGAGAGAAGGCCCCATGACTAAGAACAGGGGCTGAAGCAGGGCTTTCTTCTCAGTATTCTCTCTAACTTCTTCTTCTGTGTGTATGTACAGAGCACTCCCTGTGGCCCAGGATCAGGGAGATGTGCTCTCTGCCCTCAAGGAGCTCCCAGGCGAGTACCCAAAGTGACGATGATACAGAGTCACAGTTCTTTAGAGACGCAGTAGGAAACCCGCAAAATTCATCAAAAAAAGAGTCTCAGCGGAACGTCGTCACTACGCCTCACTGACTCACTTTCCTCCACTTATTCACAGATGCTGCTGGGAAAGTGTAGAAAGTACAGTCTCTGTCCTAGAGTCATGTGAAGTAAAATTAAAGATAGAAGGTAGAAGAATTAAGTAAAAGTATGAGACCTCATGGGCTACCACACAAGAGTATATGACTAAGTGCCCAGTCCAGAGGAGTCTAGGGTGCAGAGGTTGGACTAGGGAAGAGGTGGGACTGAAACCAGTCTCAATCAATTCCAACAGAGAGGAGGTCATGAGATGGAAAAAACAGCAGGCAAATCAGGGGGCAGGAATGTGTAAGTTGTTTATTGAGTAGACCCGGCTGACTGGTAAAGATGATCCTGTTTGGAAGTAGTTGGAAGGTAGTTTTAGGCCAGATATTTTAAAACCAGTTAAGGAATCCGGACTATCTCTCACAGATATGGAGAGTTAAGGAGAGATTTAAATAAAAGGAGAGGTATGATACAAAGAGTTCTTAGATTATTAACTGAGATTCGTTTTGTCACATACTGAGAAAATTTTTGGATTAATTTTACTCTAAATGCCATCTGAGTTAAGGGAAAGTTAAGGGGAAGAAGGTGAGGCGAAGGTTATTTGAACAAAAACACTCACTGTTAAGCTGTACTGGTGACAGCCTTCTCTGACTGGCCACTCCAGGCCATCTCCTTCTGGGACCCCTGACCAGGTAAATACCTGCTTAAAGTTCTTCCATCGACTCCCCATGTCATAAGGAAAAACAAAGACTTCATCTAGCTGATAATATTGAATTCGATCTTTAGCCTGTGGGTAACAAAGACGGAAGAAAGCAGATGCCTTAAATGGCTTTTAGTAATATGCTGTTGAGAACATTTATTCCTCTAATTCGTATCACTCTTAAAATACTTCCTCCTTGTTGTGATGTTAGTGTACACAGAAGAGCTAAATAAATTTACCACAATATTGGAAGAACTTGACACACACCACCAACCTCCTATGAGAACATTCAGAAAATGACAGATGGGGCTTACTTAAGAATACATAAGCTTATTAAGGAATAAATTCAGAAGTGCATATTAAAAGTTAGTAATTTTATTCCATATAAGAAATTCTCAATGTTCCTGTGG